CATTATAACTGACTTACCGCTAATTTTAGTTCAACATCTGTGTTTGCTTTGCACCGCCTCACGTGTTCCCGTGGCCATTGGCGAATGGTGCACACGTGGCAACAGCGATATTTAACTAATTCGATTTACATTGGAGATTGTGTACGGTTCTCTGGTATTGTATTCACGTGTAGTGTTCAATGTACGTTGAACGTTTTAACAGAATTGCCTCACGGTTGGGACGTCAACGTCGCATGCCACCGGCGTTCATTATTTGTCTAGCATGACAAAGTTGCATTTGCAATGTGCTTTTAATGTTACTTCATGTGCGGTGAAAATTAACAAACATGTGACAATTCCACGGAATTACTACTTTTCTTCGAGGTAGGGTGATAGTCATTCGTAAGCAATGTGATCGGTAAGTGATCTACGTTATGGTCTATGGTCGATGTACCATCGTAAGTTTTCAAATTCGTCATTGTACCAAATCTAGTCGACTAATCGAGTACTCTGTTAATTTAATTTGATAACGCCGACGAATTCAAACGTCCTTGAAAGAACTGAAATTATTGCTGAATATGAAGATGGATATAATATTAGCGAAATATCTTCAACTCATTATATTACTCTAAGGTTATGGATCAAGATACATGCGAAAGGTGACATCTTACTGATACCTGATCTTCATATGAAACCATTCACTTCAACTTCATCAACGACGCCAATAAGTCAATAAATGAAAATTTTGCTATAATTACTACTATTCGTATTATATCTTTAACCAAAAATACACTATGATAATTGATTAATATGGGATTAGTCGTAGTTTTCCCGAAGCAAAATTGTATTTCTAATAATATGATATGTACTAAATAATTGAAATACAAGTGGCATTTTTAAAATAACGCCTAATCTCTTTTACAGAGTAGTTTTTTTTGTGACAAATTGGAAAACGAACTAGCAGTTCACCTGATGTTAAGAGATAACTGTCACCCATTGACATTTGCGTATACGTTAAACCTTTTAATAAAGCGGGCCTCGTCTACCTCACTCAACAGACGAAACGCAGAAGTACTTTAACTTACCCTTGGTCTTCTGTGAGGTCGTGATACTAGCCCGGATGGACCTGCCCATTTGTGCAACAACGAACAATGTTGCGTGGACCTACCACAGTTAGACTACTATATTGTACTTATAATTTTCATATATTTTATAACTTTTGAAATCAGTAAAAACACTTGTTTTTTTGTTCTCCTGATCGCCAATTTGACCTATTAATGTCCCTAAACAATCTCAATAACATCCATCGGTTTTCGTGGAGACGCTAATAAAATTACGCTCCTCGGATAAATATTTACTCACCGACCGCTCTCGCTAATTATTCTATGTCCTTTTCCTGCCGGAACAATTGCTTTTATATTTAGTATTATTATAGCCTCATGTTCGAAACCTTCCACAAAATGGGGCGAAAACAACTGTATAACACAGTTGTTTCGCCCGTAGAGGACATATTACGTTAAAATTTAATTCTAATAAAGTCATATCTTGACAATCAAAACCCCTACGTACAATACGACTACAATACGATGTCATAGATCTTTACTTTGATTTTGGAATTGATATCTTACGAAAAACTTAATTACATTCAATGTTTATATTAAATGAAACTAGTATACGGATTTTATCGCGTTTTAATTTTAATTTTTAATTCCCGCCCGACCCTTTCCAGCGTTCATGGTCACGGGACAGACTGTTCGAAACGTCGGGAATTAAAAATTAAAATTAAAAGACAATAAAATCCGTAAATTAGTTTATTATTCACGTAAAATTAAGAAGTATATATTTTTTTTATATACTGCAGTTGTGATGATGTTACATTTTAAGCCCAAAAATATGGCATTGTCCAATAATAAAATTGGTCGCCATCTTGGAAACCACAAACGTGGTTTTGCCATCGTAAACTATGTTTGTAGTACCATTTATGTAATGCTTGCTTTTGCTTGAGAGAAAGTGCTCCTACAGTATGCTAAAACGTTAAACCATGTTATAATAATTTTTGAATATTTAAATTTGTGTGAAATGAAAAAAAAAAAAACAATATAATACTTTCTCAACGAAAATGAAAATCTCTTTATGAATTCTTTGAATCTCATACTGCTTATCAGTTACATAAAAGACAAACAATTTGCGTGTAATCTGGTTTTTATTTTGCATTTATAACGATGACCTCCGATGACTCATAGTTACAAAAAACACAATTATCATCACTTGTAAATTATAACAAAAAGCAACTTGTTTATGGCGTGAGCTTGATAAAACATGGCGGCGTTTGTTTATTACCCACTATGGGGATTAGGTAACACTGTGTGATATCGGTTGACGACCGTAAAACATCAACATATTTTTTTCCCGCCAATTTAGACGTTTTGATGGATACGAGAAGCTGATGTCATTTTGATACTTTTATATCATTCAACTATACAAAAATAAATGTTTTGAGAAATTTGTTGTTAGGCGGTGAAATTAGACGCGTCTTTAATTACTAAATGAAAATTTCCACGCCGGGCGCGACGATGACAGACAACACGGCCATTGTTGGGAGCAGGAAAAGTTTTCAAACAAGCACCGGTCAATTCACAGAAAACCACAGCTCGAACTGTGGAAAAATTGTTTCAAGCGCAATTACTAGAGATAATTGTCTGGGCAATGGCGCATGCACACACGCGGAGCTATCTAACTGCTAAAATAGAAAATTTCAGCTTTTGGTTTTTTCAAATTTCAAGAAATTAAATAGGTGTGGCGGATAGCAGTTTTCTTCGTTTATCCTTATTTTTTAATGTATATATTCTTTGTATCATTAATACTTTATACATGTACGACCGAAAGACGACTAATCGAATAAAATGGCGATTAGATAACACTCATAAATAACGAAACCAATAATGTATAGTTGCCACAACAGCACAATAGCTTCGCCGATACAAGGTGTGGTCTCATTGGCTCTTTTAAGATGTGACGCCGAATCAAATTGTCGGACAATAAAAATGATCCCGAGATCGCATGCGGGTCGGCGGATAACCACTACGAAGCGGTAATTTTGGGGCATGCATTTTTCTCAAGATCCCGCCACCGCCTCTCACTTAAATTCGTGATTCGCGAAGATATACGGGCGCCGGATTGAGCCCGCATTATGGTCGAGGGCCGCACTTGGCCACGCCGAGGTGCCACTTCGATTAAGGGTTGAGGCATCAGGCCATAAATTCGATAACAAGTCCATATTTTTGTTAACGAAAAACAAAACCGTCTTCAAATATCTCCCTCTGTAATCATTTTATAATTGATTTTCAGGACTTCCCTAAGTATCTCCGGAGCCCAAGATCCAATACCAATGAAATTAATATGGGACCACATGGGAAGCAACAGCTTTCAAATAAAAAAAGAGTAATCAAAATCGTTTCACTCAGACGAAAGTTCAGAACTTTCGACTGAGTGAAACGATTTTGATTACTCAACATGGTAACAAACGTAAAAAAAAATACAGTCAAATTGAGAACCACCTTTTTTAAAGTCGGTTGATAGATAACAAAAAAATAAACATATTCGTCGCAAATCGACGGAACTGTGAACATCGAAACAATGCAAATAGACTGCATGGAACTTCATACATTGAAAATGAGATCGGACATTGCCCGATTTGATTTAATTATTTGAGATTCCTTAATATATCTTATGGTTAAGGTAAAACTTTATTTATATCAATAAATTTAGAGCCATAGCATTGCCGTAAGAACATTACTGAACATCTATTATAACGTTTGCTCATATCGACAATATTTGCCATCTTATCGTCGAGAGTGAAGTACCGTATAAAAATATTGGCATAAAAGATAAGATAAACTTTTGTTTGAAACTTTTTTATATTCTATAATTAAAACTTTGACATAAACGATATTTCCGACAAAGTATGAAAACATTTTTAACGTTGATTCATAATAAGAACACTTAAAACATTTCAGGAAATTACTCTGATATATTCGATTAAAATGTGTGATACTTATAATAAATTACTGTCATACATATCTTTTATAAATTGTTAACTGAAATTGTGGAATAATAATTATTGCTTAGTATCGTTGCCAAATAGGCCCATGTACATATATATATATATATATACATATATAAAATATATATCTATATCTCTTAAAGATAAATCTCTTTCCACCCAAGTATTGTAGAAGTATATACAATATCTTCGAACTACAAACAAAGTGGCCACAAAGTGACACCTATTTGCAGATGAAGTTTTCTGTTGTCTTCGTCATTATAATTAAAATATGTTCTAAAACGTAAAAGTAAAGTATCAGCCTATACATGTCCCACTGCTGCGCAAAGGCCTCCTCTATACAGAGGGTATCAGGGCATAGTCCACCACGCGGCCCCACTGCGGATTGGCGGACTTCACATATCTTCGAAATATTTTTTTTAAATTATAATTTAATAGTTCTAAAACGTATTTAGTATCAAAGGACTTTCTTGTCATACCCTTATATAGATTTTCTGTTGCAATTTCCAGTCGATATCAATAGGTTGTTGTGGAGAAAAATAAAGACACCGAATTCACCTTAAATTAAATTTATCTTGTAGCCGCTGTATCAGATTATGTTCTCATTTTATCGTGTTTTAAATTTAATGCTTTTTCCTTTCCTTTAATGTTAATAACGATATATGCTACAACGAACAACAGAGTAACTAACTTATATAATGGGTACATGAACGGATTTTTATACAATACACTTGTCCACTCTTATTCGTACATTAAAATTGACCACTATTGTTAGAGATGTAGAGAAGTTTTTGTTCTTATAACCACCGTAACGTTCAACGCAAAATATACGTTCAAAATGGTGTAAATTAAAATTCGAAATTCAAAACTTACATAATCATTTGAAACCGCATTGGCAAAGCAAAGCACTGGGCAAAAACAAAAACCGTGTTTGATGAAGGCAAAAAAAAAACCATCAAAACTTTCTAGGCCGCGTGCGGTGCGCTGTTGCCGAGGGCCGGAGAGTGGAGGGGGGGCATGCGCGGAGGGGGGGGGGGAGGTCTGTTGCGTGCTCAGGCGCCGATAAACTCTCTGCAAAATATTTACATTGCGCGCTAGGCGAGCAGCGAGGCGGCCGCGATGTTCGCAGCCGGGATGCCGGTGGCGGCCATTGTAAACACGAGCACACCAGCGCTTGTGTGCTCTTCGTCTCACCGGAAGATTTGAAGCCCCGTTGACAGCATGCTTTCGGCCAACGCGACAATGGTAGCACTCCCGTAGGCGCGACAGCCACTTTCTCTTTAACGATGCGCGCCTAAGTTTGAGAAACGACGTTTGAGTAAGGCGTTCGTGAGAAAAATCAAACAAGTCTTGATTAAAATTTATCAAGGAATGGTTAAACTTAGGGGGTGCAAATTTTAAATAGGCAAAAATGGCCTGTTAGCTTTTTTGTTGACGTAGGGAAAATGCCTTCGCAAGCCCGCCCTAACCGACTTACCCCTAGGGGAAGTCGATTAGGGCCAGTGGAATGCTTTTACACCCTTCCATTGCCCTTACTAGCACTGGCCTCAGCAGCCCCTCCTCGGGGAGCAACACCTGTAGCCGATAAATAAATGAATAAAAAAGGCACGCTGGAATATTCAGCGCGCCTTCCTACTCGGCCCATTTGTCACGGACAACGATATCACTGATCAGCTGACCAAAGGCGATTGGAGCCAGGAGAGCCAGTGCTGAAAAGCGGCAAGCCTCCTAGCCAACTGCGGCGATTCTGGTCACTGTGTGATGTTCACTATTTTTAGGCCGCGGTGGGACGACTCAGTGTGGGTCTCTTGGTTCAACGTGGTGAAATATACTCGTAGAAGTGAATGTGTGTATAAAAATTGTAACGGTGTGGACAAGCTAGGCTCGTGTCTGACAGTCTAACTAAATTGAAATCCGTTTTCTTAACGACACTGTCATTTCTTTTTTTATATTAATAGACTTACAGATTAAGCTAGCATTCAAGCTGATGATAAATGAACTCTGCATCTACATCCACACCTACAGGCGATGAATCAATGTAGATTGTGATTCGCTATCAACTGTTTAATCTCCGGTTCTCATCACTCAACATATAAAACACAACAGTTTTCAATGCTCTGTCATTAATATGCAAGAACGTTGGCCCGTTTTGCTATTTTGAAGGCACTGTCATTCATATTTCAATGTCTATCCTTATTGTAACACATATTTAATCTAGACAATAAAGCCTTGAATAGAGAAACTCGTATAGACTCTGTAGAGAATACTAACATATCCAAATAGCTAAGTCATTGAGGTTTCGCTACAATAAAAGCTGAAATACTTTGCGTGTAAGTTGCAAACTTAAATATGATTTTCTTATATCTTGCGACTCTCTCGATAAAGTCACGAAGGCTATAAAAACTTAATTTGACATTTGGATATGCTGCCATTATAACAGGGGTGACTTAGTCGACCTCTTCGTTCTTCACTTGTGTCCACGAGCCTTTGTTACTCGAGTTGCTTAAGTTAGAGTAAGCCACGGTGATCGGGCGAAATGTATTCAGGCAGGGGCGTGGGGCTTAAGTTAAGTCGATTTGGATGCAGTGTGCGTGCCACGTCGTGCGCTATCTGCCATCGCGGACTGTCGCACCTTACCTAATTGGATCCGGGAATTAGCGAGCCGAGCAGTCCGCCGGCTGCACCGTAATACCTCAGTCTGCGGCCGCGCAGGGGAGAGAGTTGGGTGGTATACGAACGCTCAAACCACGACTCCGTTGCCCTCCGATGTTTCGTTTCAGAAGGATTTTCTTACAGTGGGACAATTTATCGCATTAATACCAAAAATACGAATTGCGTTCAAGGGTAATAATCCTGAAATAATTAAGTGGAGTTGTTTCGAGGCTTAAAGAAAAACTAGGTTTAATACCTATTGAATGGATATTTATTTAGTTTCAACAAATACCACAATTAAAAAAATATATAACTAAGACATGAAACCAAATAGGTTTGTACTCGGCACGATTTACCGATTTTCAGTACATATCAAAAATTTTAATTATAAATAACAAACTAGACTAAGTCAAAAAGCGGGTACATTAATTCAACGACAATAACACAATAACCACTAATAAAAAATTACATGGTAAATATGGTATTAAAATATTAAATATGTGATGAACAAAAAGTAACTTATTGCCGCTACGCCCTTAAGACAAATATATAGTCTGTAGGATGACAAATTCATCGTTTTACCTTTCGTCCAAGTAAAAATAAAGTAATAGCTTATATTAATCACATCTATTGGGTAAAGACTTCCTCTGTACAAAAGTATTAGGGCATAGGTTCACCACGCGACCACACTGCGGATTGGCAGACTTCACATATCTTCTATCGAAACTTTTTTTTATATTACATATTTCAAAAATATGTAGGTTTCCTCAAGATGTTTTCCTTCACCGCTGAGCACGTGACAAATCAGCACTTCAAATTAAAAATTAAATTGGTGCCGGCACCGGGGACCGAACTCAGGTTGCTCGAGTATACTAAATTAAAACCGAGCGCCCGGACAATGAGGTTTTTTCATGTTTCAAGGACATTTCGTCCCGGCTATTTCGTAAAATTTTTGGGGACGTAATTTTATTGTGTCGCGCAATTAGGCACTGCCAGTCGAAGTTCACACCCACTAAGCCGTCACCTTTCACGTCACGTCATTGGTCGGTGCGCTTTATAAATGTTTAATTCAAGAGCGAACTTCGCGTGTGTCAAAAAACACACCGAAACGATGCGCGGCTGACGAAAGCGGCGGCAAAAAAGTGCACACGTTTCGAACGAGGCAGTTCGACCGTAACGGGTTCAGAGTTGCCAGGCGAGGAGTCTTTGTGTTGCCATTGTGTATAATTAAATATTATTATTCGTCGAGCGCACACGCCGCTGTTGCTACGCCTATTGTATGCCAATTGATTCACCCGCGCTTGATGTTACCATGCTGCAGTTGGAGTTGATTATTTCGCTACTAATAGGAGGGTGGATAGCAATACTTTTGCTATTTTTAAAACTTTCAAAGACATACATACAACGGCATCGCTATGTTATAGTACACATATGATGATGTGTTATACTTACGCGAACTCTATTTGTATGTACTAACTATATTGGTAAAGTGTTTGTCAAGAGCTCCTGTTGGATTGTCACTAACAATGTCTTTGATAAATAAATTATCATACTAAGTGCCCAGCAAAGGCAAGTCAAGAATGAAAGGACAAAAGATTGCTTTGTAGAATTCCTTTACTGCCTTAATAATTTACAGGCAAATGGCACAAGTACGCTGAAAGGAATAAAAAGTAAGCTGAAAAGAAGATGATCCGTAAAATCGCTTTGCGCCGACAGTTATGCAACGTGGAAGCCAATTAGCGGCTGCGGCTTACAGCAACCTCTCTACCCTTGTACGTAATTGGTAAGTAGGTGGCTGGGCAGACTGACATTGTCTGAGCCCATTTTTTCAACGGCCCTCGCTTACAAAACGTGCAAGAGATGGTCCCGTCTCAAACTTACTAAATAATGTATAATTCGATATCATCAATTAACGTTTCGCAAGGAGATTCTAAGACACAAAATTATTCTAACGCCCATAGTACTTGGTATTTTCTTTTTATAGAATCCTTCATAAGGAACTTCTGTACAATATATCATGGCAATTCAAACAGTTTTTCAGATATATATAGCCCTTTTTCAGATGGATTTTTTTTAAAAATCAGGTAATTGCTTCAAGTAACCAATAAGCAGGACTGTCCGGGTAATATCCGAGGAATTGCCACCGCAACCGCACTGACATTACTCCCATTGTTGTCTGTTGCAAGTTTTAGAAGGTGATGTGATTTTCTATGGAAACGTTGTAATTGCGCCGCTGTTTACACTATACACATTACGGCCAATGTACTATTGTCCGCTAGTTAGAGAGCGCCCGGTGCTTTTTATTCCTTTGTTATAACAAATTAACATGACACGAATTTGTTAATAAATCACGGCTCCGTGTACCATGCGAACCTATTTGTTGCTGAAATAGTCACAGCGAGATATTTTTACATAGATTCAGGTTGTCTGAAATAAAAACGCACTTTTCTTACCACAAATCCATTAGACAAGAATAGACTTCAATGGAGGAGGTTCTCAATTCGACTGCATTTTTTTTGTTTGTAACAAACAAAAAAATACGAATATGTTTAACTTTTTGTTTTCAGTTTGGTTTTGGTTCTCAATTTGACTGTATTTTTTTTACGTTTGTTACCATGTTGAGAAATCAAAAACTCGTTTCACTCAGTCGAAAGTTCGGAACTTTCGACCAAGTCAACCGATTTTGATGATTCTTTTTTTATTTGAAAGCTGGTACTTCCCATGTGGGCCGATATTAACTTTTTCGGTATTGGGTCTTGGGCTCCGGAGATACGTGGGGGAAATCTCCTGAAAATCAATTATAAAATGAATACAGAGCGAGATATTTGAAGGCGGTTTTGTTTTTCGTTGATAAAAAAATGTACTTGTATCACTACAAATTATTATGTTTTGGTAATTGCCACTGCATAACTAGTTATAAATCTCTCGTTTTTGCACTCCATAGGGAAGAAATACAAATCGAAATGATTTTGGTATGGAATAAATTTAAGTCATTCTTTTGAAGAGAAGTATCCAATCCAATCCTATCAACCTTTTGCAGTCCACTGCTGGACATAGGCCTCCCCAAGGGCACGCCACATAGCACGATCTTCCGCTTTCCTCAAGAAAAATATACTAGAGTTTTTTTGATTTCTTTTCTGATAAAAGTAGTAAAAAAAATTTTAAAAGACTAAGGTCAGGTAAAAAAACATCTTCCAAATCCAATTTGGCGCAAGCGATATGGCATAAATGTTTATACCCTACACATTTTATACCCTACATGTATTCAAGGCCAGGTGGACGAGGAACCACATCGGTGTCCTTATCGGCCACGGAACCCCAATAATGTACGGTCGCGTAACGTTACGCCAAACAGCAGTTGGCTCGTGTATCATCAATTAATACTTGTTGATCTCTAATTGGCCAAGCTATAAAACCACTACGAGACGTTTCGATGCTCCACCTATATATTACCGTACAAACTCTGCTTTTATTTATGCAAAATATAATGGTTACTAATTGTCAACTAAACGGAGATATTCTTTGGATAATAAGATGATTATTTTTATTTTTAATGTTTTAGGCGTAGAAATTACGGTTTCACAATTCATTGTTAAACTCGGTAAACTAACTGTAATCAATAAAAGTGTACCTAATGAATGCATCTCATTCATTAGGTGAAAAGTATCAACACTTTCATGGAAGTATGTCGAATATAGAGCGAACGATAAATTGAAACTTGTTACGTCTCTAAGACTCATTAAATCGCGATTCACCATTGGTATATTTTGCCAAGGCCCGTCTCCCGACGTCACTGGGGCCCGTCGGTTGATGGCAACCGATATCGCAACTCCTCGCTCATTGCCTCTCTAAAGACAATATGCTGCGCCCAACAGTACCGGCAAAACGTTCCAATGTTGCATTTTTATTTTTAAAAAAAATATACTCATATTGTCATCTATTTATTTTGTATCTAGTACTGGTGTATTTGCGGTGTTTGTCTTATTAATTGTAACTCTCAAATGGCACGCAGACGTGTAAAAATTACTGTATGGTGAAATAATTATCAAATAACGGCTTGGTAATTTTTAATATGGTACTCGTATTCATATTTAGGTTTCGTTTTATTATGTTGGTCGTAGTTTTTATTCGTCCTACAAGAGGAAGATGATACAGCAATAAACTCTACATCGTTTTTATGCGGACGAATAGATCTTTTCATGTTCAGTGTAATATTCTCTAAAATGTATCCGTATAAAAATTGCATCATTAATCTAATCAATTACTGTACCTAACGGGGACTACGCAGGTGTTCCATATTTATGGAAATTACGTAAGATTTACAATCGCGAAATAAAAAAATACGACTTTTATCACAAACCGCAGAACTACCTGTTCCTTGCGTAAGAACGAAAGTACCATAAAAAGGCCATTAGGGGCCGCTTTTGGAGGAACCCATCGAAGGTAATAAAAATCTTGTATTGTTTTCGGAGTGCTCCAACACTTATGGGGTTCGTAAAAATTATATCGATTGTAAATAGGAACAAGAAGAGCCGGATGGATTCATCTGCGAATTTCGCATGCACTGCGTCGGGGCTGCCTTATTATACAGGGTGGCTCATAAAACGGGTCCCACCTATTTTGCAGTCGTAAAAGTGCCTCGTAAATTTCGCGTCACAAATGTGCCTCTTTGTTGCCTGGCGGAGGCAGATAGGCCGAGGCGACACCCCGGCTCCTTGATTGCAACCCCTGGCGTAATCTCACATGACGATAAGTCGCGAGCGATACTTACGGCCAAATGCGGGGATGCAAGTGCCGGCACGCTCCATCGTGTGTGGCGATGCTTTTGTGATTTCACACTAGTACCTACAAGACAAGTGGTATCCATGTTATATCGATATAATACCAAGGGTTGACGCATTTGTCGATCCATACATTCATAAACGCCAAAGTTTGTGTGTTGCCTTTTTAATCCACAACGGAGAATTGATTTCAAGGAAGCAACGAATGGACATAACTCGTTAACCGAATTAGTAACACATAGGCTACTTCTTATCCCATAAAGAAAATTATTATCCCGAACCAAATTACCACATATATAGAAACAGGGGTAAAATCTAGTAAAAGATACATTTTTACAAATGGCTTCACTAATAGCCCGCTTACCTCATGCCCGTCGATTGTGAAATAGACTAAAGTCCATTTTTTGAAATATTGCCAAAATTCGTGAATTTTCGGTCATTGCCAAGTTCACGCTATATTGAAGTTCTGTCCTTTAAAATGGTCTAAAAGTCAAGTGCGAAGGAGAAATTTTGCAACACTTTAAACATGTTCTCTTTATTTACTGGATCTTGAAGTCTTGCATTGGTCAAGACACAGTTCGGTTCTGTTGTGTGGATTAAAATTAATTCATGTTGTGTGGATTTAAATAATTAATTCAACTTCTTTGTTTTCAATTTTGATTTGTAACTATAAAAATTTAGTTTTACTTAAAGGAATTTGTTTAAAAATAATCGACTGTGCGAATATATAAATATTTAATTGCTAAATAATTGTAATTAACATCTAGAAAATAATTGTGGAATTTCCAAAGCGAATAAAAGATTATGTCATATTGCAGACATATTTTAATGAAAGCAACAGTTACTTGCTTTAGGTAGATATTATTAAGAAAAATCACCAAAGGCAGAACGCAAAGTGAACTAATAATCAAACTGTTTCGGTTGTCGATAAATATAAACAGTTTTGTTGAAGCAACACTAGCGGCACATGGTATACAATTGTACATTATGTTATGCTCGACATAATCTTGCATTGCATTCCCTCCGCCGCGCCGCAGCCATATTGTTTTTGAACGGCGAATTTGGACAATGGCGCGGAAATCTCGTGTGAAGTTATGGCTGTACGTCAACATAATGGCTGCGCAGACGGCGGGGGGTGAATAAAACTTCGAACGTAAATTTACATTTCGAGCAGATGATGCGACGACGCGGTGATAAAAATAAAAGCCCACCGAGTTTTCGTTTATATCAATTTATCATTTTTTTTAAGGAAAACATAATAGCAAACGTATACTCATAATGAGCAGTTTACATACTAACGTAATTATTTTATTGAGTGAATAAATTCTGAAAATAATTGTTTTATTGACTGTTTTTGAAGTAAAACTTCTTCACGCACGCTAGACTTGATAAATTGGTGAATGCCTGTCGACAGCATCACGAAAAGTGTGATTAAAACCCATTAAAAATTTAAATATTTCTAGAAAATTTATATTTGTATATTTATATACACGTATAACACATAAATACATATATAAACGTAATATAAGAGAAATAAGTCAAGTACTTATATTATTTTTTTATTTTGCAAATATTTTTAGGCGAGGATTTTTATTTTATATGTATACAAGATTTTATATAAAAGACGACACTAGTCCTTTATTCTATAGTAATCTCTCCTTTCTTCCCATTGAGTAGGTGCACGTACTAATGCGTCTAATAAACTCCCGCCAATTTATAATCGTAAAACCGAGTCCTCGACTTAGGGAGGGTTAAATTTAATCACGGACTGCCCGGCTACCTGCCCTGCGACAACAACGCTCCGAGAGGAGGGAGAGCCACCCTCAGTTCTCATTGACAAAGCATGTCCATTGAGTGGAAAAAGAACCACTCGACCTGACCCCTGTGAACGCACTTACACAAGGGACCATCAACGGAAGAGGGCGGATCCTAGAGGTCAAGATTATCCTGATCGATACTCTCCCTCTTTCACATCCAGATGTAAGGGACCCTAGTAGAAAGAAGTTGCGACTATAGAGAGAGCTCTCGATATATTTGTCCATTGCTATGTTAGTAATATCTGCTTTGCTACCGAAACTTATTTCACTTTATGCCAAAAGTTTCTTATTACACTGTAAAACGTGAATATATACTAATTGGAATATTACATCAAAGTGTAGTTCACAACTTTACACTCTTTGCAATGATCGTTAAATTTAAAACGCTACAGCATAAGTTTGTTACTTCAAACAAATATCGCACGGTGGACTTACAAAAATGTTTATCTTTGTAACAATTGAGCTTCATTCGAGAACGATTATTATCTTCAACTAATTATATCTTGATTATGATAAAGCAATAAAATTTCTAAAATTATTCTTACTAAAGGTCCATACTGTATAAAATACTACTTAACCATGATATGTTGAGTTTAAATATTCATTATGTTCCAGTTCAATGCTTTCCAAACGTACTTATAAAAACCTAGCGTCGACAGCTGCTGTCAATGTCAACAAATCGATCAAATTGCAATTATGCCATTCTATATCGTTATTGACGTGTTAATTTAAAAGCAATACTGTACATTATAGTAATAAAAGCGATAGACGTTTTTCGTCGTCTTACAGACGAAATATATCTTCGATACGAACTCCGACAACGGTAGAAGCCAAACCGTGGACACATCGAATCAAATAAGTGAATTATTTATTGATAGGAAGGTATGTATTCGCTTCGTATCTTCTGTTGCTAGGAGCGTCGATTGGCGCGATCGAGAGCGTTGCACGGAGCGCAGCGGACCGAACGCGCGAGCGAACGCGGCCGAACATTCCCGAACGGCGCGCGCCTCCCGATCGCCCAGTCGACGCTCGGCGCGCCCGAGAGCGAACACCTCGACGAATTCACGTTCGCGCTCCGCACCGCGACGGAAGATACGAGCCCAATATCGCTAGTAATTACAGGGAGATGCCCTAAACGGAGCCATCGGCCGTCGATGTCGCGGCGGATCACGGACTACATACATTTCAAGGTCGGCGGGGCGAGCATGTCGGACGTGGAATGGACCAACGACCTCGCCATCCGCCTGATGATGGAGTACAAGAAGCGGCCCGAGCTCTGGGACAGTTCGCACGACCTGTACCGCGTGCACACCGCGAAATACGAGGCGTGGTCGGAGCTGGCGAACCTGTTCGAGTGCGACATCGTCGACTTGCGCAAGAAGCTCAACTCTATATTCGCTTCGCACCGGCGCGAGAAGGCCAAGGTGCGCTGCGGCGGCCGCTCCACGTGGTTCCTGTACCCGCACATGAGCTTCCTGCCCACCCACATCGGCAACGACGAGACCAGCCCGGCGGTAATGCCCACTTCGGTCCCGTGTTCGCTTCTCGGTCGGACGGCGAATAAAAACTCGCGTTAGAAATTGCTTAAATAAATAAGAGACATATTTTATAGCGCGTAACATCCTTATTATCATTTACATGGTGCGTAATAGGACAATTCAGACTCAGGATAATTTTACAGCAGATTTGACGGCTCCGTGTAAGATATTGGCCTCGGCGCCGGGGTCGTGAGTTCGATTCCTACACGTAACAACTTTTTGTGTGACCCACAGATACTTATATCGGCTCTAGATGTTTGTCCGCGTGAAATTTATGTTTGCAAAACGTAAACGTAAACCTTCAACTCAGGATAATGTTATACTGCAGTAAGAGTAATGTTAAAAAAAAATAAACAAATAGCGCCGCCGTCTTATACTATAGCAAAGCACCTGAATGACCACATTAATGGGACGTTATCCACAATGCAATAATTAAACAGGCTCTGTTCACCGTCATGTTGCTTTTTACAATCCACTACGCCCTCTGTCAGCTAGCTTTGAGGCAGCGTGACCCTGACACAGTGCTTCACTGATACACTTAGCTCAGCGCGTCATAAATAAGCAATCGCTTCCACGTCGGCCCGCGATAACGCGACCTTAATGGCCGGCAGCCGATCGGACTAAAACTCGAGCGGCTTTCTGGAAGTTTCCAGAGTTGGATCGAAAAAATAGACGCGCATTTGTTGAATGATTGATACGCTTCGATGAGAAAGGGCGGCTTTTGATATTGCAATTATTCGCGCCTGCCCTTCACGGTTCCGCTTTAGCAAACTCTGATGTAATATTGCTTCTTACTCATACTTATATTTACTAGTTTTTTTTTTTCATCATTTTATTTAAGTTGGGTCACTACATTAATATTCTTCAAGAAACGGTAGTAGGAGTAACTATGTTTTGATATTTTTAAGGCATCCGTTTCACAAATCTCCTACTCAAACATAAAGCTAAAATCGAAAATTTATTTCTTGAACAGATCCTTATAGTGGCTTCGGATTCGATCCCGGGATCTGCGGAGCATAAGGCGACTAAAGTGACAACTGAGATCAGAAAACAAGTTAGTTTTTTTATTTGTACACCTATCTAGGGAAAACATAAAACTTTTCGTATTCAGCTAAAAAAGTTTCTCAGCAGTGACGGGTCCAATCGATGCCATATAGGTTCACACAAATATAGGTTTGTAATTTTCGAGTAATACATAAAATTATACGTATATGCCTTAATGCTTGGACAGTGTATTTTAATAATATTTTTTTATTTTAACAACACTCATAAAATCATACAGTTTTTCTTTCTTATATTTTTAGTTCTAATTTCTGACTTTAAGAATAGCTATTATCAACTTTAACGTATCTGTCACAGAGCGAGAGACGGAGAAGAATATTGAACCTGCCGGTGGAAAAACCTGAACCCTCCTCGGCGGAATCGGCTGAGGAAGACCACGCCGAAGAGGACACTCAATCGCAGGAGGTGATCGTCAAATCCGAACCGGCTGTTGAGTATCCTAGACCGAGGGCAAAACGCGAGGTGAGATGCGTCGGCCGCAAAGCCAGGGTACACAAAGTGGTCAAGAGACGAGTGGTGAAGGATAACGATGACGACAGAGCCCGTCTCATCGAGACGATACGCCTGCTAAGGAGATCCGACCTGCTGAAGAAAAAGGACGAATGCGACAGCTTCGGCGAGTACATCGCCGACTCTCTACGGAAACACGACGATCGTACGCAGAGCATGATAAAGCAGGCGATAAACAACATCCTCTTCGAGCAGGAGATGAAGAGGTACAGCAGCAATCAGTACGCGGTGGTGATACCGTCCATGGACGAGAACCCCCTCATCCTGGGTGATACGGAGTCCAAGTAGTGGTGCGGTGCTTGCTAATTGATACAGGGTCATAATATTATACAGACTGGTGCCTAATGTATTAATGGACTCCGATAGTAATCGCAAACATTTTGACAGTGATAAGTGAACGAATATTAAATGTATATTTTCTTTTTCCTTTTTCATTGCTTACTTAGGTAACATTACCCAATCTTAGAGTTCCAGATTCAAATGTTTTATCAGTAATCCCAATGGAATCGACGGCCCGTAACGCAGGTGTTGTTTCTGAATATCGTTTGGCGAAATGGAACAGGCGTTTAGCAATGCCCGTTTAAAGTTCTGTAATTGCAGTTCTTTCATTTTACTTTACTATAAAACACGATCTCTACTCTATAGAATTACAGGGGATAATCGAACATCAAATAGTTAGGCCTGTTACATGCAGAATTTCTTGCTTCATTTGTATTCCAGCAACAATTTATGTGGGGCAAAATGTTGCCTTGTCTTTGTACCGTATCCACAATTAACCTGGATTCGGACAAGATAATCAAGCACTTGTATCGTCAATGAAACACATACTAGAGTGATTAAACACATATGACCAGTGGAGATATCCAATTCCAATAACCACCGGTTGACCTTCATCAATTACGGACGTTGCCATCGTATAAAGAGAGCAAAAACGTCAATATTATTCCAAATTACATCATCACAAATCTCTCGTGATTAATATACGAACAAAGGGTTACGTGACGACACAATATTTAAATTACGCCGATAAGCAGGTCTCGGTACAGATATTGAATAACGCCACAATGTCACGCACCCCCGTTTGGAATATCCGCCATTTTTTTGTCGCCATCCGTCATAGATCTGGAGCAGTTGCGTACGTGCCGCTTCGCACGGCCATCTTTTATTACTCGCGTACTTCGCTTCGGAACAAGAAGCGTCGTAAACCGTCCAAGCCCGCTCATGTACGACTAGCGGCGATTGCAAGTTTCGCAAACAACGCAATGTAAGTCTCACCATATAACGCTCACGCGCCCAACCGAGTCAGTCGGTCAGTTGCATGCCTAAAATTGCATCGGTGTAGTTTTCGCTACATAAATCATCCATTACCGACTCGCTAGCAGCGTTTTTTGTAGAGCGCCATCTCGGCGCGTCGTTGTTGGTCGTTTTTTGATGGACGCACGCAGTCGTAGGCAGTCACGTTGGCGCGGTGCATCGGAGCGAGACTCGATCACGCCACTCGGCGTCATCCAACGCGGCGCATTATTTCTGCTGCAACCGAATAAATTAAATGATAATCGATCACGTTGCAGTGTGTTTTTTATTTGTGTTCAATTCACTTTTGCCATTTATGTGCGCCGTGAGTCATCGGAAAACTACACCTGGGTGTCGGTTTTAGTACGGCTAAAGCGCGTTCGCTTACGCTACTGTAGACAATTAAATAATATATATACAATATATATAACTCAGCCGCCACCGGAATTGCGTTGTTCCAGTTAGCTGGTCTAGAACATGTTAGGTCGACATTAAGGCAATTAATCCGTAACCTTCATTTGTTATTTCTCCTTTATTTGGGCTTGCGGCGGTGTCTGTCTTATACAAACCGCGACACTAAGCGGGAATCCATTTTCTAATAAATTTCATTTATAGCCGGAAAAATTGGCTTACAGTAGAGATAATATATCCAACAGATCTGTCATGTACATAGGACGATGAAGGCCCAAACCCGTGGGTTCTGGCTAGCCCACCGGTTCTGCGTCAGATGAAGCTTTAATAGTCTCGGGACTGAGAGCAAAAACATCAGTTAATACAAGATACAAGCAAGGACGATGAAGTTTTTCTACATGTAAATATGGTACGAAAATACATATTCATGTTAATCTCCCTGCAATAATGTAGTTCATGCGTCTTCGTTGCCAGTAACAAACTAATATGGCGATAATGAATCTCAGTATTAGATTTTTTAAAGAGAAATTGACTGGTAAGCAATTCACTCGATGGAAAATCATAATCAATATTGCTTCTGGGCACCAAATAAGTCGCTCTACGTTCTAATTCACTGAATATTAAGTCATTTAGAATCGAGCAATTTACGATTACCTCCACTACCATTTGAAAGTTAATGTATGCGAGTAGCGCTAGACATGTCGGCTTCGCGTTCGACAACAATGTAGCAGCACGTTAATAGAACCGCAACCCGATCTCTGTAATCCAAGTTGGCAATGGCAGTGTGGATATCCCCCGGCTATACGTTCGGCTGCAACGTTTTACTCCAAATGCTGAAATTGCAGTGAGAGTGTAAAATTATAAACGGATCTAAAAAAAGTTTAAGGGCGAGTGTGCCGGTATTTCAAGACAATAGCTTATAGGTTTTGTTAGTTCCTTCACTTTAAACCTCTATAGACGCTGATAGAAACCTATAATCTACAAAAGCCAGTCTACAAACTAAAGGGTTATGCAGTTTCATGTAAAATTATTAAAATGGCTTTAAAGCGTTTCCCATACCATTGTTCCTAGCGTTTTCCAGTTTTCGTTATACAGAAAAATGTCTGTTTAACATTGAATGCATCTTCGCGAACGCCTTTTCTTTCTGCGGTGCGCTTTTTGCCGAAGTTTCATCAGAGTTATATATGAAACGGCAAAATCGTGTGAAGATCGAAATGCATGTATAGTTTCTTGTTGAGTGTACATTTGATTAACGACGCTCTGTTGTCAAAGCACGCAACGTTTTAATGAATATCACGCGTCTGTTGAGAAATGGATCCAAGGTGAGCGTAATAGAGTTTATTATTGCGGGGCCCGGTCGACGGGATCCCGCTGTCATCAGGGCTGACGACGTGACAGGTGACGAGCCCGTCGCGTCCGAGCCCCGCTGACACTGATCTGACATAATTGCATTTGTCGCGTCAGGAGTTAGCCAGTAGCCGGCTCTTGTCTATTCACCGCGCACCCCAAATAGACCTGACTCTTTGCGTGAAATGTGAACAATTGTTTTGGTGCAAGTCCTCGCTGAAGGTGAGGGGTGATTTTGGATGAAAATAGATTTCGCACTGTAATTTACCGCGGCGCGGCAACCTTGACTTTTGCTGTGTAATTTTCGCAATATATGTAAGTACATATATTCTGGTGGTAAATCTGAACGTAGTTTTAAATATTAGATTGGTTAGGTAAATTGGATAAAAAGCGTAATATGTGCCTTGAGAAAACTGGTATCGTGGAACATGTTTATCGATTATGAGAATTCTATTCACAGCATTAACTTCTGTTAACCCGAGCCTGTTCACCAATAATTAACTAGTTATATTAAATGTACATTAATTATGTTAATAAGCAATAAATAATATTTGTGCATAACTATCTGTAACTCGAAACTTTGTTCTGTATGTAGTTATTTTTAATTTACTATACTTTTCCAGTTATCGGAATCGAACCCACATCGCCCTAACGCAGGAGACAGTTTTACTAACCACTATGCCGTGGTGCTGATGCAGCCATGTTCTACAACTACTATATCGTGGTATCCATAATATGATAGAGATGGATGACATTTATAGATCACTGACAATATGGGCCTGCCATTTACATAACTCTAGCTTACTGTAGCTGTCACACGAGAATAGAATACGGGACTTGAGAAGCGAAAGTGCAACAATGTAATAGAGAGTAATTACCTACAAAGAACGACTCTTCGACAATTTGCAACAAATTTGAAAGATTTTATATTAAACTAGCTGAGCCCGCGACTTCGCTCGCGTGATATTATATTATATATATTAATAACAATAGATAAAATTTCTAAACTAAAAAAAAAATAGCCTCTTAAATAGCCTAAGTTACACCTTATTTCATCAGCTATCTGCCAGTGAAAGTACCGTCAAAATCGGTCCAGCCGTTTCAGAGATCAGCCGGAACAAACGGACAGACACACAGACAAAAATTGTAAAAAAAAATTATTTTGGTACATGTACCGTGTAGACATCAATATCCATTTAGTAAACAGCGGTTATTTGAATCTTACAAACAGACACTCCAATTTTATTTATCTGTATAGATGTATAGATAAAGCTCGAGGTTTTAATATAACTTAATGATTGGAAATTGATTCAAAAAAGAATTTTAAATAGTAACTAAATTACACGCTATCTAACAAGCAACGTAATAATTTTATATACGACTATAAAATATTACCGTAAAAAAATAGTTTAAGATGCGTTCAGTAGTTAATATAATAACACCTACATTAAGTAGGTATCAACCGATAAATTTGTAGAGTACCAAAAGACATTCAAGTACTAAACAGCAAAGAGTAAGTATAACATTCGTGCTTTGATACAGTTGACAGCATAGTAGGTACTACATGTGTGTGTACATTCACCCACATATGCTTAAACGTGTCGGCTTAATCTTATACAACAGACTCGTTGTCGCCGGTTCTAAATAAAGCGCTTACGTATGCCTCTGTACATATACTTACAGTCGTTACACAATTACCTTCAGCATACTAGAAGGCGTTATTTGTAGTGGGTTAAGGTCCATTTCCCTGCATAAGCGTTGCACGAATAACTTTGCGGCTTAGAACGCGTTACTCAATAAAAAATACAATCGCACATAACTTTGTGACGTTGGTAATAGAGGCGATTTTTGTAACGCAAAGATATAACTATAAATTTTTGTTTACCACCATGTTACCATGAGCAATTATCGTTTTATTGCGTCTAATGCAATATGTGATAGAGTTGAAATTGGTGTAAACAGCTTTAGTGGCAAATGGTAGTGAAATCTAGACCTTAAATAGATATCGCGAGGGACCGATGTGGGGATTTGTTTTTTTTTTCTATAATGTTACATGAAATAATAAAATTTAGGGTTTTGAATATTCTGAAATTTTGCTTTTATAATAGACTAGCTGTTGCGCGCGACTACGTCCGCGTAGAATAGGCTGAGGGCGTAACATTCAGAAAGCAAGACAGATATAAATTTTGAAGTTTTTTATAGTGCTAACCTCTGCACTTAAGATTGAACATTAA